TTATAAGGCAAAGAGACTTGCCAATTCTGGGCACTTATGCCAGATGATCAAACTTCCCCATCTCTTCTCTTAAAAAAAATAAAAAAAAAAAAAAAAAAAAAAAAAAAAAAAAAAATAATAATTCTACTCTCTTCTCCCCCTTTTCTTTAAAAATAAATTTTCATTCCATCCTAGATATGTATTTTTTTTTTTTTTTTTTTATCTTTCTCCCACACCCACCTTCCCCCACCAAAAAAAAAAAATTTTTTTTTTTTTTTTTTTTTTTTTTTTTTTTTTTCTCTTCTCGGGGGGGGGCCTCCCGAGGGACACTTGGTCATATCCACGGCAGAGCAGAGCCCACAGAGCATCCAGTTTCCCCTGAGTAGGGCAGACAAAAACAAAAACACTCAGAGATCACCATAAGCCCATACTTTATAAAACACTGGCTTTAATGAAAATGTGTTACAAATGTGAAAAAGTGATGTGCAAATCAATATGATATAATGGAATAAACCCTGATGGGCCATATCACACCATCCTGTGATGGATATTTTCCTACAAGGGCACATCCTGAAGTGTTTTATTACTCTTACACCACATCAAAGTGCCAACTATTACTATTTTCATCCATTTTATTCATTCACATCAGACATTTTATCCATTTATAGTCATATTTAATCTTGTGGAACAAGTTAGTTACTGTAATCGCTTACATTGTATCAGCTGCAGTGATGCTTGAAAGTTTGTGAACCTTTTAGAAGTTTCTACATTTCTGAATAAATATGACCTAAAACTATCAGATTTTCACACAAGTCCTAAAAGTAGATAAAGAGAACCCAATTAAACAAATAAGACAAAAATATTATACTTGGTGATATATTTACTGAGGAAAATGGTCCAATATTACATATCTGTGAGCAGCAAAAGTATGTGAAACTCTAGGATTAGCAGACAGGTATTTTCAACTAATGGGATTACATATTTTTTTGGTTTGTAGAAGTGTATCTTGGCACAAACAAAGGAGATTTCTGAGGACCTCAAAAAGAGTTGTTAATGCTCATCAGGTTGGAAAAGGTTACAAAATCATCAAAGAGTTTGGACTCCACCAATCCACAGTCAGACAGATTATGCACAAATAGAGGAAATTCAATACCATTGTTATCCTCACCAGCAGTAAGGACCATCAAAGATCACTCCAAGAGCAACACATGTAATAGTCCAAGAGGTCACAAAGGAGCCAGGGTAATTTCTAAGCAACTAAAGGCCTCTCTCTCTCTCTCTCTCTCTCTCTCTCTCTCTCACACACACATTGGCTAATATTCATGTTCATGAGTCCACTATCAGGAGAACACTGAACAAAAATGGTGTGCATGCCAGGGTTGCAAGGAGAAAGCCACTGCTCTCCAGAAGGAACATTCCTGCACTTCTGCAGTTCAAAGTTAATGTGGACAGGAGCCATTATTGGAAAAATGTAGCTTTAAAGTTTAGCTTTAAATGAGAAGGGATATGTTTGGAAAAAGGAAAATACTGCATTCCAGCATAGGAACCTTATCCCTTCTTGTTATGGTAAATGGTCTGCTATATAACGGTTTTTATTAACCTTTGCAGTTCTACAAAACACATTACACAGTGTCTCATTCACACACCAATGGTAGCAGAGCTGCCATGCAAAGCGCTAGCTTGCTATCAGGAGCCCAAGGACACTTCGGCATGTAGAGTCATGTGGGCCGGGAATCGAACCGCCAGTCCAACAATTAGTGGATAACCCACTCTACCACCTGAGCCACAGCCGCTCAAATGGTTTTGGCCTGTTTTGCTGCAACTGGGCCAGGACGGCTTGCATCATTGATGGAACATCAAAATTCTGAAGAATACCAGTGAATTCTAAAATAAAATGTAAGGACATCTGTCCATGAACTGAATCTCAAGAGAAAGTGGGTCATGCAGCAAGACAATGACCTTAACACACAAATTATTCTAAAAAATTATGATTAAAGAAGAATAAAGGTAATGTTTTGTAATAGCCAAGTCAAAGTCCTGACCTTAATCCAATAGAAATGTAGTGAAAGGACCTGAAGCAAGCAGTTCATGTGAGGAAACCCACCAACATCCCACAGTTAAAGAAGAATGGGTTAAAATTCCTCCAAGTGGATGTGCAGGACTGATCAACAGTTACCGGAAATGTTTAGTTGCAGATATTGCTGCACAGGGGGGTCACACCAGATACTGAAATCAAAGGTTCACAGACTTTTGCCACTCACATATATGTAATATTGGATAATTTTCCTCAATAAATAAATGACAAAATATAATAATTTCGTCTCATTTGTTTAATTGTGTTATCTACTTTTAGGACTTGTAAGAGAATCTGCTGACGTTTTAGGTCATGTTTATTAAAAAATGTTGAAACTTCCCTCACTAGTCTCTCTTTTAGTTAATAAGAAAAAAATACAACTTGTCACATTACTGAGAAATTACTGAGAAATCTTAAAATAAAATTTCTATCCTAAAGGCTTTGCCGTGGTGGAAAACTTACTGACCATTACTAAATGCTGACACCCGAGACTCCTTGCATTAATGCTAAATAATCTTCTTCTTACACAAAGCTTTACTATATCAATGACAAGACATTATTTTGTTAAATAACCACACTTTTTTTTTATCCATTCATATTGCATTAAATTATGTGGAATGTACCCGCACACGGTTCATTGTGAATAAGCTGTTACAACAGAAACAATAATGTATTAGAACAAACACTACAACTGCGATTTGTCTCATTGTGGTATAATGTAGTGTAATAGTTGGCAAATTTTAAGACAAAAATTCATGCACATGAATCTACAGTAAAATATCTGTGGAGAAACTCAGTACCTTAATGGGAGTGTACCACCTCCTCTGTTGTGAATGCCTGTGTCTTGACGACCTCCTCGGTTTGGGCTCATAAGGCTCAAACTCCTGCTCAGGCATCTTCACCACCGCATTCTTGGGTTTCTCCAGCTTAGCCCCTTCCTCTGTAGAGCCTTTCTCCCCCCAGCGCACCTAACAAGCAGAAGCAAAACAATCCTCATGAACAAAAAAGGAACCGAAAAATCCTTATGTTTGTGTATTTGTAATTATCACCTACCCCTTCTATTAATTATTTTATAATACAACATTAAAAAACACAATAAACACAAATGTATCCAAAATTATTTAGCAGAAGGCATATGGGGATCAACACATTTTCCTATGAGCTTCCTATGGCTCACTTTTCATATTTGTCCTAAAACATTATTATACACACTGTAATAATAATAATAATAATAATAATAATAATAATAATAATAATAATAATAAGACCAACAGTAATAATAATAATGTTAAAAATAGCATCATTCTCAAATTCAAGGTTGCTTTACAAAATCCATATACCCTGATTCAAAGTTATTTAAAAAATACAAAGGCAAAAATCTATTACCTCCATTCTTTTAATGCCTCCAACTCCTCTGCCCCCATAGTAAGAGGCATTAACTGTAGGCCACTTCTTCTTTGGCATACCATTCTCATCATCAGACTCCTGAACACACACAATCATTTCTTTCATTTAAAGATTAAACCTGAGTCACTGGGTGCACAAAGTCTAAAACCTTTTTCGCGATTCATTCTTAGTCTACAAAATAAACACAAAAACACAGCTGAACAGTGCAATAGACAGAAATAGCATCCTTATTGTTATTCCAAATCAAAGGGGTAACTTGCATCCATTAAGCCTCATCAGACAGAGGTCCTTGTTTATGGATTCAGTGTTAAGTGGCACAGATGCACACTCTAAGGCTACTCCCACAAAGCTCTCTTATTTCACATCAGCATTGGTGGCTGCTCGCCGCTGACCTCTGGGAACAAAACGAGCACAAGAGGACTATTCTGCATGTTCTGCTGCACGGTGCCTGTGTACTCCATCATGCTGGAGGTCTAGTCTCTCTTCTTATAGTCGCTCACTTGTACTGCTGCAGTACTAGCACATATGTCAATGTGTCACTGACACTAATCAAGTCAGTCTGGTGTAAGCCAGTGAAGCTTTATGAAGACATTTTGTAGATAAAAGCTTGAATCAGACCAGCTTTATTTTATACTGTAGACGTAAAAAGTTTAATTCACATGTATGAGGGCTTAGGGGAGCTGGTTTTGCTATGGAGGATGCCAATGTAATACAAATCCACACTGCTTTACAGACAAATGGATGCCCCATTCAAGGCAATAGTTATGTGCAGTGAACACAAGTTTAATTGTGTCTTAGTTTAAAGGTTTTAGTCTATCTTGTATCTTGTTTGCATCATGTTGATGTGAATATTGACAATGAATTCTAAAAACCCAATTATAGTCACTTGAATCCATCCATTAGGACAGAAATTAATGTAGAATGTCCAAAACTTGTGTTAATTACATTTTCTTAATAACAATGTTGAGAATCTCATAAATGAAACAATATTTCTGTCATACTGTAAGCATGTCCTTAATCCATTTAAGCCCTGCATCCACACATTTATAAACTGAGACATAACTGAATACAGTACAGTTTACTTTAACAGTGTAGGTCACTGAATCTGCTGTGGTGATTGTGATACATGTGAGGATCTCAAGAGCATACATTTCCATGGCATAGAGATGACACAATACCACTTCCGATCCAATAGTGTTATATTTACAAAAATCACATTGTAAATATAATAAATACAATACAAATCCATCCATCCAACCATTTTCTGTACCGCTTATCCTGCACAGGGTTGTGTAGAACCTGGAGCCTATCCCAGGAGACTCTGGGCACAAGGTTGGGGACACCCTGGACGGGGTACCAACCCATCACAAGGCACAATCACACACACACACACCCACACACTCACACCCATTCACACACTACGGACTATTTAGAAATACCAACCAGCCTACAATGTATGTCTTTGGACTGTGGGAGGAAATCAGAGTACACGGAGGAAAGCCCTGAAACAAGGAGAGAAAATGCAAGCTCTGCACACACAAGGCAGAGGAGGGAATTGAGTCCCCAACCCTGCAGGTGCGAGGCAAACACGCTAACCACTAAGCCACTGTGCCCCCCACAATAAAAATCATTCCTAACAAAAGAGAAAACAGTCAAGTATCTTTATATGTAAACACTTTCAATTCCATAAATACATTTCTTTTCCAAATCCAATTCCAATCTGTGGAATTTGTTACAGGATCTTATATCCGATTGGTTACCGATATCAGTTACCGATATCTCTAATGACTATACAGCCTTTTCCAAGCGCATGGACACTTTTAAAAAATAATCGCAAATGTAATACAGAACACAAAAAGAAGAGAAAGCTGAACTTACAGGTTCAGGTGGTGGTGGAGGAGGTGGCTCTTTAATGACCTGTTTACAATACATAATTTAATTTTTCAAATGTAACAGATAATATGAAACAAAGCATTTAGAACAACCTCTAATAAGTAAATACTCACCACAGTACAGCATAGAGGCCAGAACCACCACATCAGCAGCAGTCCCACGAGCAGGAAGATCACCAGTAATGAAATGAGGAGAATGGTGCCATCAAACTGCACTCAGACAATCACATCGATATATTATATCATTTCCACATCAGCCACGTCAGCAAAAACCAAGCCACAGCACACAGTAGAAAAGATTGAAGAAAAAACTTATCAGAAGTTAAGAGGCCTAAGAGGAACTATCACAGATCAGAATGTGAACTTACTTGATAAAAAAGAGACTCCTCTGATGAAAGAAAGCAGAGGAGACCTCACAAAAGTATTGAGAAAAGAGAAGGAAAGGAAAACAAGAAAATGTATAAGAATCCAAAAAAGGGTCATAGCAGATACTAAAAGGAAGTCAGAGGAACAGAAAAAACATTACTGGCTGAGCCTATAAGCTACCCTTTTTGTATTGGCCTTTTTTCTCTCAACAGTAATTCAACTGAATTTTATTTGTGTAGCACTTTTACCAATTATAAGAAATACCCTTAATAAGAACACGAGAGGCATCAGTGTCAAGAAAGAAAAACATGAGTAAGAAACCATCACCCATCATTTATAGTTCTTCAGTTGTAACTGTCCTGGGTTAAGCACAAAATAGTTGTTATGATTACACAGCAGTTCTTACAATGCAAAAAATTATATTGTAACATATGAAAATATTTTCAATATGGGGAAATTTATCTACCTACATTTGTTATTATGAGATCAAATATAAGATTATTCAGTCCGTTTTTAGATGCATTTGACCCTTTATATTTGCAGATAATTTTGCTTCATTCTAGAAATAAATGCTTAAATGTATACAATTATCTGCCAATAGAACAAGTCTATTTCAAGCTTGAAATTAGAAGGAAATGTTAATAAATGGGATTAATATTCATATATTTTATATAAATGTATTTTTATATTTGGTATGTATTGTGTAATAGGAAATACTAGACAGATTTAATGATATCCAATATATTTTCACTTGCTAAGATGCATTTTTTTTTTAGCTTTTCCACTCATAATGTTTTGTGAAGTACAAATAATTATTTTTATAAGAGGAATCTGGTGTATCAGTTATGTATTACACACACTGATATACTTACACATTCAGTAGTGGTGATGTGCACTGAACTAGTGATGTAAGACAAGCCCTCATTCATGCTGACCTGAAGATATATTACCCTGCATCAGAGCACAAACACAAACTTTCAGCCACATTAAATCAGCACATTCCTCCAGTGGCCTGTATTAGCTTGTCTCAGTTTTCTTTCATCAGAGCTTGGCCCTGACAGAGTGGGCTATAAAGCTGGATAAGACTGTATGTTTACAGTTCTACAAAAAAAAAAAAAAATCCTAAAAGCTGCCTCAATTACTTCCACTGCACATTTCTACGTCTGCTGTGTATCAGTTTTCAGCATTGGAATGCTGGGAGAATGTAGAAATGGTCATTAGACTGGCCAGAGCCATTTGGACATCAGATTTCCCCAGAAAATTAACATCAGGTTTAGATGTCAGATCAGGAAAGATGGGAAGATAGGTGGGTAGAAATTTTAAACTACAATGAAAAGTGGGATTACACAAGTGGGTGGCGGTAACAGACAGAATAAGGAAGAAAGGAAGGGAAAAGCAAGACATTTTCTTTCTCTGTCTTACAGTTCTTCCTTAAAAACCAAGAAGTCATAATCACAATACCAGAGGCACACCCATGCATTTGGTCATTATGTAAGATAAATTCCTGCATATTTCTCAAGTTAGCTTTAACTTTAGTTAGCAAATAGGAAAGAACCCAACATCAACTTTTTTTAAATTACATTTGCTACTTTTGTTACAGGTTATGGATTAATCATTCACGGTTTATTGATACTGAAAATAATTTAATAAATAGATTAGATTAAATAATAATTTCTACTGTAGTTCAATACATGAGTTGCATTTACCGTGATATAATTTTTATTCAAATATAATAATAATATTTTAGTAACAGACATGTAGTTTTATAAAACAAATAAGCATGTAATATTGCATATTCACTATAAAAAATATCTACAACTGTAGATTCAATGTGCTATGTAGGACCCTATACACCAGACAGCTGCCCCATTACAGAGGTTTCAAGGTAAAATTCCTTCCTAAGTTTTTCATAACTGCTTAAAATAGGCACAGAGAGGGTTGTGTTACAAAACCTAAATATCCACCGTCCTGACCATAATTATAAAATGCAGCATCATACAATTACCTTTTAACAAAGCAGTATTAAAAATACATATTTTGACTAAATAGACTTATTTTTCATCTAATAAAGTTATTTTTTTAAAGCAAATAGCTAGAAGAATGAGTGGACCTAATCACTGATTCACAGCATAATATATTTTACATTATTACAGTAATATATGGTATATTGCTCATGATGACAATGGGAATAAGAGCTGCACGTAAGTAAGAAGACAAATATTGAATTGTCCGAGAGGGCATTTTAATAGCAATTTGTGCATGTTACTATTTAATGTAATGTTTTAAAAAAGAATCAACAGCAGCAGAAAAAAGTAGTCCAGTTCTAAGGTTAAACCACAGACAAATGGCAAAACAGGACCAGGACATGCTTTGACCAGTCTGAGAGCACACCCTTTTAATGTAGGGGGAAAAAACCCTTACAGAAGCACAATATGTTCTTGTGGAGCAGAAATTCACATTGAACCCCACATTACCCATTCTAAAGTTATTTAACCCCATTTTCTCCCAATTTTCCCACCCATTAACTAGCTCTCTCTAATCATGCAACAGCTACCAGCCAGGAAGGGTGAAGGCATATGCTTCCTCTGAGACATATGAAGCCATGAGCTGACACAGTCGCGGAAAGTGCTAACTGCTCTGTCCCATATACATGAGCTCACGGGCACCAATAACAGCCGTCACTAGTGTGGTTCTGATTGACAGGAAGTGTGTCCCAATTCATGTACTTTTGCATTATTCTATGCTGTTTTGTAGTATAAATAGTGTGCGTAGTGTGTTCAAACTGACAATTCCAAATAGAAAAAGTACACTTTAAATATCAGCCTATATCAGACTATCAGACTCCGATGTTGAATGAAAAAATAACCTTATAAAATTCAAACACTACACGGTTGAGTACATATTGTATAAGTGCATAGTGCATCATTTGGGACACAACTAAGACTTTCTTTGACTCTTTATTGGAGCACTCTTGGACACAGGTAAACGTGGCATATATAACGTGGATTATAACTCATAATCTCTCCACAACAGGCAAACTATTTTTTGGTGTGCCACTTCTAATACTTGATCTTTCTTGAAGAATGAGATGAATTTCAGTAAAAGATTTCAGTAAAAGAAAGAGGACTAATTGTGAGATGATGAGAAGATGAGACACTAATTGCCCATTCTTATGGATAAGAAAGCTGTCACTCTGTCCCTCTGGCCTCCTGTTATGACAGCTCTCTTAAAAATGGAAGTTCACCCAACATGAGACATGCTTCCATGTTTGGCTCCATCATGGGCAATACATTTTGAGCCTGGTGGAAATATCCACATCTTTCTCTTCTGGGGCAATCCTTCTACCATATACACAAAGAAGGAGACTGGGCTGTCAATAAGTTACTGCAGGGGATTCACCCCTCACATCTCTCTCTTTCTCTCTCTCTCTGTTTCTCTTCCATTGCCTGTTTCTGTGTGGACGACCTACTCAATCCCCCGATAGCCCCTTGGCAGGGGGAGAAGGAGCAGAATGAACGGGGGTCCAGTGACAGAGCCATCTCACTCTCCATCAATCAGGCAGTGGCTGGCCCTTTTTAAGCACTTCTTCCAAGAGCCTCAGTCATCATGCATTTGGGTGACAGCAGTGACAATTTTATCTTATAAGACATGGCTCCAATGAAATTGAAGGGTTTGTGACAGGCAGTTTGTGCCCTAAAATCATCTTCTCCCCCACCTCTATCCCGTCTTCTCTCCAAACATAACAAACACCTCATATGGCCATCCACAAATATGTTAATAACACTGGCATAGATTACATTTGACATACTGCTTAAGTATGCTCAAGTATAAATAACTGTGCAGTACCTGACCAAACTGTATTTAATGCATGTTTTATTACTAGAATGGCCATTATCATAAACTTTTGTTATATCATGATAACAGTGTTCTATAAAAGTACTCAAAAGGCATATGTGAGTATAGATAAAGATCAGACTTTAAGGTAACCTAAAACTACAACTACATTTACTTATGTGCATTTATTTACATAAATAATGAAAAAGTGTTCTGTTAATAATGAAAATGTTTTCTGTTAATGTGTACATATGGCCAAATAGCTTCATTTCCATCAAGTATGGACTAAATAAATCATACTTTGTCAGATAAAAACAGATTGGGCTATGCTCATAGCATCCATGAAGCGTGAGCTGGTCATATCCATGGTAACAATAGATAATCTAGGTTATTGGGGAGGGGGCAAATAAAAACATCTAGTGAGTAACAGTTCTGCAAGCAAAAATGCCTTGTTAATGAGCATGGTCAGAGGAGAATGGCCAGATTGCCAGGTTGAAGCAGACAGGAAGGCTAATGTAACT